CCCACGATGTCCGCTAGCCCCTCCCAGCAGGAGCTCTTGGGAATGTGTTAGCACGAGGATCCGGAACACTGTCAGTGAACGCCCTTGGCACACGCCTTCCCAGAAGGCGGAGGAGGCTGAGCAGCGGCCCAGCGGAGCCACCTTCCACTGGCAGGAACCCTGCCTGGAGCACTTTCCTGGCTCGACGAGTGATGGTGCAATTGGCAATGGTTTTGCACAGCCTGTGTTGGTGACCCAGTGGGACTGGCAACAGCGCTATCCAATCACAGGGAGCAGCACCATGGGAACAGAAACAGAGACTGTAACAGAACGAACGTAGAGACAGCGTCAGCTGAGGTGCCCCGTGGTGAGCAACAGCGATGATCAGCAGGCTCATCACAACTCAGTGTCTGCGGCCACAGTTTTTCATTCCACACAAGAGCTTGGCCTGTCTATTGTATTCGGCTTCTGATATCTCTAAACCAGGTAACGGCATCTTTAATGTAGAGTGCCACCCCCTCATCTCTTTTACCCACGCTATCCTTCCGGAACAGGTTAGAACCAGGGATTTGAACATGCCACTCATCCCGCCCAGTTTCAGCAATGCCAATTATATCAAATTTCTTCTCATCAATGAGAATTTCCAATTTTTCTTGCTTGTTACTCAGACTGCCAGCTTTGGTACAGAAGCAATGGAAAAATTTCTTCTCTGCACATTCTTCGTCCCATTGGTTCAGTTTGTTTGTGATACACTGATTTTGAGCAGGTACTGTATTTGCCCCTGAAGCACTCTCCTCTGGCATTGCTAGTGTAACACTCTCCTGGCTGCTCCAGCTAGCCTCCAGCTGAGAAGATTAGCATCTCTCCCACTTATGAGATGCAGGCTGTCCAATTTGGGCCACATTCCATGGAGAGAGGGTGCTATGCAATGTTCCATAAAACTAAACCCTTCTGCTTCACACCAGTCATGCAGCCAGTGGTTCACCTCCAGTATTTTCTGCCTTCTCTCACTTATGGGACCGGAAGAACTTCTGAGATCACTGGGACTTTCCTCTTCATCAGCTCCCTTCAAAGGTCCCTGACATCTTCTGTGCCCCGTGTAGTTCCATGTGATGCTGTGTTATTAGTCAAATAACCTGCCCAATCTTGCAGTAACATCTTGCATTTTCATTCTCAGGGCACACTGCACTGTTATCTGTGTGTCCTTTGCTGAATTCTCTGCCCACTGGTCTTACTAGGGAGTCACCAATGACAATTATTTACCTTCTTAGCACAGAGTCCACAGCTAAGCCCTCTGAAACTCTTCTCTTTGCCCCATGGTGCATCCCTCCAGGATGGACTTAAGCCATTCTAGCACTCCTGCTACCTCCTTTAGGGAGGTCAGCATTCTCTCCTGGTTGGCAGTGTCCAGTGCTGCAGAAAGGTCTCATAGGATTAGAATGGATATGTGCCCTCCATTTGTAGACACTAGGAGTCATTCATCTGTGCAATTACTATCATTTCTGTCCCATGTTCTGGCCTGGATCCTGACTTTGCTGGGTCTAGGATATTAGCTTAAATTTGGTGAGTCTGTAGTTGGCTGTTGTCTGCTTTTCTGTGAGCTTGCTTAGGAGCAGACAGTTTGATACCAGGTGGCAGTGGGCTAGAACTGAAGCATTCTGAGCAGGTTTCTTCAGTGTTGGTAGCACTATTGCAGGTTGGAAGGAGGGAGGGAAGATTCCTCCTCTGACAGAGATGTTGGCTAGTCCTGGCAGAAGCAGCACCCATTGCTCCATGCTATCTGGCACCAGCCAGGAAAGGGGCGAGTCAGAGTCTCGGGTCTTGGGTCCAGACTCCTTTAGGGTGTCCAGTACTTCGTGAGGAGTACTGGACTCCGGGAATGCAGGTAGGCTCTTCGTTGTCCGGTACAAACAGAGCAGATCTAGCCTGTGTGAGAAACCTCCCCGAATGCACGCGATCTTTTCAGCACCGTAGGATGATAGTTCTTCCCAGCACTTTGGGCTTGGCTCAGATGCAGGGTGTGGGCTCAGGACTGATGAAGTGATCTACCACCCAGGTAACTCCTTGGGACAGGATCTAGCTGGCCATTTCAGTGCAGGCTGATAGGAAGATTCTCCTGGTGATTACTAAAGCCTTAGCATAGGCATGGAGGAATTCATTCTGTTTCATCCTGCCTGTATCAGCCTTTGTTTTCTGCTATCAGCGCACAAGTTTCTGACACTCTCTCTCTCTCCATCCAGTGCAGGGTGTCAAAACCATGGAGAGCTGTTTGGGTGATTGGGAGCAAGGGCCCACTTGGGGCCAATGGCCGAGGCAAGTGTAGAATGACGATAAGTCACTGGGTCCTGGACTCCTTGTCCTGTGGAGTCCTGCTGAACTTGGCAGAATCCATGAGTCTTTCTGATGCTGGGTCCTGGAAGAGTGCTGTTCACTGCCTTAATGAGCTGATGATCTGCCCAAAGCAGTGGCTGGGTTGTCTTGTCCTTAATATTGACATCTAGACAAAAGAGCAGGTCCAGGCTGTGCCCAGCTGGGTGGGCTCACCAGAGATGAGGACAGGCGTTTGTGGGGGGTTTGTCTTTGCAGTCTTTTTGACATGAATGTTGAAATCTCCCAGAATGACCACCATTGTCAGTGAGTTCCTTCGTGAACCCTTTCGTCTTTGGTCTGTAAATGAGCATAACATCTGTGTTAGCTTTGGCTCTTGTTTCTAGTGTTAGATTAATGAATTTGAATGACCTTGTCTTATCTGAGGCACCTTTCTTGGATTTGATGTTTCCAGAGGAGATGGATGCAGTGCTGTTTGCCTTCTTGTCCTGTCTGGGTCTGTGATGTATCAAGTCTTCTGGGGGTGTGAGGGTGACATACCAGGGTACAGTGCAGATGAGTTGGGGGCTGTGTCACCCCTGCCCTGCAACCTTGGGTGCCTCACAATGCCTTGCTGAAGTAGGAATCTGGACTGCTCACAAACAGCCTAACAGCATGCAAGCCACATCCTGAGTGTCTGTATGTAACTGCAGCCCACCAGCCACACTTGGGTTATATTCCAGCTCTTACCATCCTGGGTTATATTGCAGAGTGACCCCAACATACCCCCAGTCCTGGATTTCCCCCAGAAATATATGTCCTGTACCGCCCAGCCCTCTCCTGGACAGTACAGATATTTTAAGTTTATTATTCCTTTAAGGGAATAATATGCCAGCTTATTATCTCAAATAGTTATTTAGACACTTCAATTTAAACACACTGGATTAGATAAAACAGTAAAACAAGGTGATTAATTACAAAGAGAGAGATTTTAAGTGAGTACAAGTAATGAGGCATAAAAGTCAGAAATGGTTACAAAAAAAAATAAAGATAAGACATTTACTAATGCCTAATTTAACAAACTATCATAGATTCAAGCAAAGTTTCTCACCACATGCTCCAGCTATCTTACTGACCAAACTCTCAGGTCAGGACCCCTCCCTAGAGTCCAAAGCCTGCTTCCTTTGTCTCTTCAGGTGTAGAGAATGTGATAGGAAAGGAGTGTTTGTCCCTCCTTCTTATGGTTTTTGCACCTGTTTGATGACTCTGTTTACTGGTTCAATGCAAATTAAGTAGAGCACACATTCCTTTGTTTAGGACAGGCCTGTTTGCAGACTTCTCTTGGCGCAGGGCTATGGGGATTGGAACCTGTGTTAACATTCTACTGTATGGTTTTGTTATAACTTCACATACAATGTTGCCACACATATTTTACCAGGACAATACTGCCCAGCAATTATGACTTTTCAAATGATACCTTAAAAGGCTTCCTTTGTATGAAGATTAAAGGGTATGAATTCAGGGGTGTGTTCTGTCCTGAGGGGTTAGGTGGGCTAGCACAGGGCTCCCGGCATCATCCAGCCTTGGAGATGCAGGCTAGATCAGGGCATTCATCACTGGCAAGGTCATGGGTGTTGGAGATGGAGCTTGCATTGATTGGTGTCAATATTAGTTCAGGTAGCTCTGTGTGCCTGCTTTGGGCCCATGCCTAGCTAATGTTCCCAGGCAGTGGAGAGGTGGTAGATGGCTGGAATCTGATTTCTTAGGTCTGCTCTGCTGGTTCCTGGGACAGTTCCTCCCAACATGGGCTGGGATAGGTGAAGTATCGGGCTGTGCCATGGGACACTCCAAGTGGAGGAGAGGTGGTCTGACTCGCTGGGGTGGTTGGATACCTTTTGTTGCTAAGGCCTGGTTGAGTCCTGGGAGTGGGTGGAACTGGAGCAGTCAGTCCTGGGAGTAGTGGTGGGTGTGCTGCAAGCATGATGCTAGGCAAAGTCCATTCCAAGCAGAGGAAAGGAGTTAATGGCATTAGACACCCATTTCCTTGCTGCCCTTAGCTGGCTTTCCGGGGGTGCAGGGGAGATGGCACTTCCAATGTAACATGTGAGTTTCAGTTGTAAAAAAAGCCCTCCTGCCCAGAAGATGATGGCAAAGCCTGGAGAAGCAGGACTGAGGTCCAGTGCTCCTTCCCCGTAAGAAAGGCAGTGTCCTATGGGAGCCTCAGCCCAGGTGGGGGCTCCTGTGCTGGATGGAGGAGTCGCAGCCTCACTTTCACATTGCAGCAATTCTGTCTGGTGCTGGAATTTCCCCAAGTGCAAGGAGGCTCCTCCCACCGCGGCGGGGCAATTGTGCTGCCGAGAGCCATGACAACCGCAGGTGCAACGTGGAAGTGGCACCCAAGCAACCTTAACTCTTCCCCCCCCCCCCCCCAAGTGCATCCTCCTACCTGCCCTGCATCCCATAGTGTATGCCCCTTGCAGCATTGGTTGGGTAGCTGGTGGCACACGGATAGCTCTTTGATGCTAGGTTTGATGCATGCTACCACACTGACCTTTGCTCTGACAGCATGATTTGGACATCAAGGTAGCAGTTAGGGAAGCCGATCCTTGCATCTCCCTCCCAGAAGGTAACACATAGGGCTTCTTGCCAGCACTAGCCCCACATGGAGCAATCTGGGACAGTCCTAACAGGGCCCATGCTGATTCGTTCCTCAGGGAGGAATTCTGTGAAATATTCAGGGCCAAAGAGAAGACGACGGGAAAGCTCTACACGTGTAAGAAGTTCCTGAAGAGAGATGGACGGAAGGTGCGGAAGGCGGCCAAGAATGAGATCATCATCCTGAAAATGTGAGTCACTGTACCTTCCCATCCCGGGGTTTGAGCCTGAAGTTCTCAGCATTAACGGCATGAGTCCCTGCTGTGTATACTACAGGAGTAACTCTGTTAGCTAGCAGCTATAGTAGACTCTTATCCTCTTCTGCGGACCAGCCAACAGAGGGGGACAAATGTACCAGTGGGAGCTAGGTCTGCTGAAGCCATGATATGACCTGACCAGGCTCTGCTAACCCGGTCTCCTCCTAACAGGCCCCCTGCTCAGGGCATTCCTGCTGACAACAGGCCTTTTCTACATGTAACTGCATTTTTCCGTCTGTGGGCCCCCAATGTCGCCTGCTTTGATGCTGGGAAGGCTGGGTAGGGCAGCCCCATGACACCTTTTGTTGTGCCTCTGATCCCTTGGGCTAGGCTGATCTAGCACTGCATCTCACTCACAAGCTGACCTCTATATGTGACCAGTGCCAACTTACAGAAGAGCCCTTCCTTCTTGGGACATGCCCACAGTACCCTTTGCCTCCCCCACTGCAGGCAGTATAGTGGGGACTGAGAGGGGAGACAGGATGTGTGCTACAGCGGGGAGATGAGGCTAGACACAGAGGGTAGCCTGAGTTTCCCCTATTCCCACAGCCCTGCCCATGTGGCTATGTGGCCAGGCGTATCCAATGTCCCCCTCCCTTAGGTGCTGGCAGTCAGCTTCATCCTCACGCCCCCTTCTTCTGGACATGCAATGCATGTTGCCCAGCCCCAGCTCCCCAGCAGGCATGGTGCTAGGCTCTGGGTTGAGTTAAGGTGGGCACAGAGGGAAGGGTCTGGCCTTGGCCTCTGGCCAGTTCGAGGCAGAGTCCAGCTGGTGCGACAGCCCCCAGGCCAGCCTGGCTCCAAGGTGGGGGCACCAGGGGGTCCTGGCAGAGCTTGGGGTTGCGGCGGGATCCCTGGTCCCCACCCACCAGTCTCCGTCCTGCTGCTGGGTGGGTGGGGCCAGTTGTTGACACCTTCAACCAATCAGGCAGCCTCTGTGCCTCCAGCTCCTCCCCCTCCTCCAATGGGAGACCCTGAGGGACTGTGGGGGGAGCCAGAGGAAGGGGTGCTGAGCAGCTGGCAGAGGGAGCCAGCCACAGATGAGTGAGGGATCTTGCCCAGCCTGTGCGGTGCTAGGCGCGCTCCCTGCCCTGTCCACTGTCGTACCCAGCTCTCCCGTGGCTCAGCCTCCCTCCTGACCTGCACGGCTCCCCCAAGAGCCTCCAGCGCCTGCCCTGCCCTAGTGGGAGCAGAGTAGGGAGCAGAGTCTATGTGTCCTGGCACAGGCAAGTACCCCAGGGATGTGGTGCTGCGCTGGGCAGAGTCCACTAACCCCGTGTTCTCTCGCTCTGTGCCCCCAGGGTGAAGCACCCCAACATCCTGCAGCTGGTGGATGTGTACGTCACCCGCAAAGAGTACTTCATCTTCCTTGAACTGTAAGTCAGTTCTGCCTGGTACCTGGCAGCTGCAAGATTGGCCCCAGCTGGCTCTGACAGGGCCCCTGCCCCTCCCCAGAGAGACCCGGGCTCTGGGGTCCCAGAGGGAGCTTGCTATGGCTGTAACCCCTCCACTGCTGCTCCCCAGGCACGTGTCTGGGGCAGCCACACCAGACGCCCCCTGGGTAATTCCCAGAAGCCCCTTTCTCCTTCTGGGAGGCTGTCTCCATGCAGACCTGCCCCACAAAGCTGGCCTGTCTCCCCTTCTGGGCCTGCTCTTGCCTCATGGCCAGATGCTTCACTCGTTAGCAGATCAGTCTAGAGGCAGCTCCTGCTTAGAACTGCAGCTCAGCTCTGGGCCAAGGATTGGCCATGTGCCACAGCCAGGGCAGCTTATGGCTGGCAGCACAGGACTTGCTGATCTCCATGTACAGAGGGCTGGAGCCCTCAATTAATCCAGGTCTGGGATCCTTCATTATCCCATGGGCAATACAGGAGAAAGAACCATGCTGGGAATGTCAGAGGATCTGTGGTGACTCACTCTGGAGGCTAATTCGTGCTCCTCGCCAGATTCAGCTGCAGCCTGCCGTGGGGAGCTGTCAGGAATGGTCAAGTCCCTGCTGTGAGCGTGCTTCTTGGGTGGGCGAGGATTGGCCAGCTTCACTGAAACTCTTGACAGCAGGCACTTGGGCGTTTCAGCTGAACACCCAGAAATGCAAGGGCTGCTCCATAGCATTACCTGTAGCGCTAAGATCTGGCACTCTGATGAGACACGTGCTGTGTCCTGCCTCTGACTGGGCTGGACCCCTGGACAGCTCCTCTTCCCTTGCCATGCCTCCTGCCTTTCCTAACCAAGCCCGGGACCCAGCTGCCTCTGCAGCCTGGGGCAGCTGCTATTGATGGATGGGGAAGGTTCTGAGACCCTGCAGCATCTGGGGTGCTCATGCGGGTCTTGGGGTGCTCTAGCCATAGCTTGGGGGGTGTTGGGTACAAGGCCTGTCCCTCAGGGCAAAGGCCTGACCCTGCTGCTCTCTCAGGTATGGGCTTTTTCCCCCACTGCAGGGCCACAGGCCGGGAGGTGTTTGACTGGATCCTGGATCAGGGTTATTACTCTGAGCGGGACACCAGCAATGTCATCCGACAAGTGCTGGAGGCCGTCGCTTACCTGCATTCACTCAAGATTGTGCACAGGAACCTCAAGGTCAGTCATCCGGCTCCCCCACTGGCCTGCATGCCCCGGGATGGTCTGTTACCTGCAGGCCCCATCTGCCCTCGCAGTCCCCAGCCATCACGAGCAATCGAGCTCTAACGGGGGTCCCCACTCTCATTCCTCTCCAGGGGATGCAGCTCTGGGGGCGCACCTCACTGTGCTCCCCAGTAGGTGCTGCTTGGCCCCATAGCCTGGCTCCCTCCTGCAGGCTGGTTGGTGGCTCCCCAGCCTGGTGTAGCTTCTCTATATGGCAAATGCCTCTTCTCTGAGCCATTCTCCCCTGGGGCAGGATGGGGTGCTGGCTGACCCACAGAGCCCTGCGGGAGAGACACCCCCTTGGTGCCCAGGGATCATTGACACCCACACACACAGCAGTGTGCCCATCTCTGGGATGGGTTGTGCTCTCTCCTTCCACTCCTGCCCTTCTCTTGGCATGCGGACCTGCAGCTGGAGAACCTGGTGTATTACAACCGCCTGAAGAACTCCAAGATTGTGATCAGTGACTTCCACCTGGCAAAGCTAGAGAACGGCCTCATCAAGGAGCCCTGTGGCACCCCAGAGTATCTAGGTAAGAAACAGTGAGGTGGGCATCAGGGGCCATTTGGCAAGGGGCAGCAAGGGACAGGCTAGGCAAGAGAGGGCACAAAAATTAAATATTTTTTCTCAAAAACTAAGGGTGAGCCACAGAGTGAGAAGCTGCCCCCAGAGCCCGTTCCAGGGGCTCAGTAATCCAAGCCGGTCCTCCTCCCCCCATCCTCCCTCACCCCCTCGGCCCAGGGGCTGCCCCCAGAGCCCATTCCAGGGGCTCAGGAATAGTTAAAGGCTGGATTGTGCCCTGAAGCATGAGGGCAGAGATCCCTTCCAGCCTTTTGCTTCTCCCACCTAAGAGCAGAATTTCTGACCTGGGACTGGTGGCTAAATGGGAACTATGCACATTCTCCTGAGCTCTTCCTCACCTGCCTGCCCCCTTCCTTCTCCACAACCCTGTTACCAGCGTGCTCAGCCCAGGATTGCTCCAGCCAGGCCTCCTTTCACACGCCATCCTGTTTCCTCTGCAGCTGTTCTAGTCCCTTCACCCTCCTCCAGGGGAGAAGTCACTGGCTCTGCATGCACACAGGGCCCTTCTGGGCATGGCGCTGGCAGGGGCTTTCTCCCTGCAAAGATCTGAGCTCCTTCTCCTCGACGGAAGAGGTTCCCACAGTCCACAGAGAGCGTGGGCACAGTAACCCGGGAGCACTGATGGGCAGCTCAGAAATGGGGCAGCTGCCCACAAAGAGGAGCAAGGCCAGAGCCCTCCAGGAGCTAAGAGCACTGGGGGTGATCAGGCAAATTCACTCAGGTTGTAACACCTGCAGAGAGCTTCCCCTACTGGGAGAGAGGCTCACACCGGATTCTCCAGGGACCAAGAGAGACAGGAGGGTTTTTGGTTAAATAGCCTGAGTTACACTGGACCCAGAGCCTTCCTCCTGACTCCACTAACGGGCAGGACCTCTGGTCTATGGCAGACCCTGATCCTTAGCTAGGGCTGGAAGGACTTTGGCTCACTGAGGCCCCACACGACTGTGGGCTTGTTCTGAGCAAAGGGTGTTATGAACTGGGAAGCACAAGAAAATCCCATGATGGTGTTCGAAGGGCCGCTCACCTGCCCAAACCCATGCAGGAGCTTGGGGACCGCTGGTAAGCTTAGTAGCTCCAGTGTAGGTTCTTTTCCTCTCTGTGATGCTTTTCCCTCAAGAATCAATGGGCTTGCTTCACAAGGGCCAGGTGGTAACGTCACCGTGGCAGTTATACTGTGTACCAGCTTGGGGAGAGGAGTGAGGCAGGCCTGCTGAGGCAGCCTGTCTCTTGCTGGGGAAGTCACCATGTAGGCAGAGAGCCGAACAGCTTGGAAATACCCCAGTGAGAAGGGAGAGACGTGGGTCTCCGCCCAAGAGAGGCGACGGCTGGGGGAGCCAGGAGCTGAGGCTGGGTGCCCGTGCTAGCCCACAGAGGGGGAGTCCAGGCACAGTCTTGTGGCCAGAGAGACTCTTCCCGGGCCAGGAGGTTCGCTACCAGCTGCAGTGTGGACATGTCCAAGGTGAGGCCCAAAATGGCAGGCAGAAGGGAGCAGGGAAATGAGACATAGCCCTAGCAAGCCAGATCCTAACTGGCACTTGTACCACTGCTGCCATGGGAACGTCCAAGGTGGGGGCTGCTGTGCGTAATGGGCTGGGCACCCGCTGGCAGCACTGCACAGGGCACCAGGACCTGTGGAGAGCCCAAGACGGAGCTCCTGCCACTGCCTGGGCGTGGGGCTCACCTTGCTGTTGGGCCGTTGCAGCTCCGGAGGTGGTGGGACGCCAGCGGTACGGACGGCCTGTGGACTGCTGGGCTATCGGTGTCATCATGTACATCTTGTAAGTATGGGGAGGGGAATGCAGAGTGGGGTCCTGGAATTCTGAGCCTGGCTTGCAGGGGTTGGGGGCTGGCTGAGGATGGGGCCGGCCAGAGACTGGGCCAGGGAGCAGAAGATGGGCTTGTGGGGGGGATTGTGGTTGGAGAGATGAGTATGGGGTGGAGCCAGAGGCTGGGCCAGGAAGCTGATATTGGGGGGGACAGGGACAATGGACACAGACTGGGCTGTAGAGTCAAGGACATGGTGGAAGGGTGACAGCCAGAGGCCCCATCCAGGAAACTAGCTGAAAGAATGAGCCAACAACCAGGGCCTGGGCCTGGACTCTGGGGAAGAGGGCCGGAGACCAAGGGGGCCCTGGGGAAGAGGGCTGGAGACCAAGGGTTCCCAGACCCCAGGGAAGGCAGCCAGAGGGGCCCCGGGGAAGGGGGCCAGACACTCATTGCCCTGGTCCCCGTGTCCCTTACGCAGCAGCCCAGCCTGCCCACAAGGCGGCAGTGATGGGGTAAGTGGAGCCACGGTGTAGTCAGCGCTGGGCCAGGCCAGGCGTGCTCACTGCCCTGACGTTCTCACCCCATGCAGGCTGTCGGGGAACCCACCCTTTTATGAGGAGGTGGAAGAGGACGACTATGAGAACCACGACAAGAATCTCTTCCGCAAGATCCTGGCCGGCAACTACGAATTCGACCCGCCTTACTGGGATGACATCTCCCAGGCGGGTGAGGCTCGCTCTCCTGGGGGCACCGCTGGGCACCTGGCTCCAGAACCAGCATGATGCTCGCTCAGAGTCCCACTCACAAACCCACCCCTGAGAGCCAATGGAACGGAGGAGCCCATGTGGGCGAGACTCACCCTCACGCAGCCCCTGCAGAGCCCCCGCTGCATGGACCCCACACACTCCCACCCTCCCTTGAGAGACCGCTCAGTGGGAGAGACAAAAACAATAGTTCCTGCCAGTCCTGCTCTATGGCAACCCCAACCCAGTCCTCGTCACCTCCCCCCCGCCCCTCCTGCCCTGTTCTACTTAATCCCAAACTGTCCTCATCCCTCCCCTGCCAGCCCTGTTCTGTGGGACCCCAACCCTGTCTCCCTCCCCCTCGCCCCGCCCCAGCCCTGTTGTTTGGGATCCCAACTCTGTCCTCATTCTGCCTCCGCCAGTCCCGTTCTATAGGACCCCAACTCCATCCTCGTCCCCTCCCCCCAGCAGCCCCGTTCCACAGGACCCCAACTCCATCCTTGTCCCACCACCCCACCAGTCCTGTTATGTGGGACCCTGGCCAAACCCATCTTTATCCCACCAGCACCACCAGTCATGTTCTATGGGACCCCAGCCCTGTCCTCATCCGCATCCTTGTCCCGCCCCCACCACCCCTGTTCTACAGGGACCCCAACCTGTCCTTGTCCTGCCTCCGCCAGCCCTGTTCTATGGGGCCCCTACTCCGGCCTTGTCCCCTCCCCCCAGCAGCCCTGTTCTATGGGACCCCAACTCCATCCTCATCCTGACCCGCCAGTCATGTTCTGTGGGACCCCGACCCTGTCCTCGTCCCACCCCGGCCAGTGCTCTTCTACAGGATCCTAACCCCATCCTCGTAAACCCCCCCCTCCCCCGCCAGTCCTGTTCTGTGGGACGCCGGCCAACCCCATCCTCATCCCACCCCCGCCATCCCTGTTATATGGGACCCCCAACACCATCCTCGTTCCGCCCCCCCGCCGGTGCTGTTCTGTGGGACCCCAGCCAACCCCATCTTCATCCCACCACCACCAGTCATGTTCTACGGGGCCCCAACCCTGTTCTCATCCTGCCCCCGCCAGTCCCGCTCTACAGGATCCCAACCCCATCCTCATCCCCTCCCCCACCCCCCGACAGCCCAGTTCTATGGGATCCCAACCCTGTCCTCCCCTGACCGCCAGGCCTTTTCTACGGGTTTCCAACCCCGTCCTCGTCCTGCCCCCACCAGCCCTGTTCTATGGGACCCCAACCTGTCCTCATCCCACCCCGCCAGTGCCACTCTACGGGATCCCAACCCCATCCTGCCCCTGCCAGGCCTGTTCTACATGATCCCAACCTTATCCTCTTCCCCTCCCGCCACCCCACGCCAGTCCTGTTGGACGGGGCTCCAACTCTGCCTCGTCCTGCCCCCGCCAGCCCTGTTCTATGGGACCCCAACCCTGTCCTCCCCCGACCGCCAGGCCTTTTCTACAGGGTTGCAGCCCCATCCTCGTCCCACCCCCACCAGTTATGTCCTACCAAGCCCCAACCCCGTCCTCGTCCCCCCCACCAGTCCTGTTCTCTGGGACATCGGCCAACCCCATCCTCATCCCACCCCCACCAGTCATGTTCTACGGGAACCCAGCCCTGTCCTCATACCGCCCCCACCAGCTCTGTTCTGTGGGACCCCAACCCCATCCTCGTCCCGCCCTCACCAGTCCTGTTCTCAGGGACCAGGGGTGAAAGTAACTTAAAGGACTTACCAGTACGCTGGAGTCCTGAGCGGGGGCGTGGCCTCAACCAGAAGAGGCATGGCCTCAACCAGAGGAGGTGGGGCCCTTCAATATTTAAAGGCCCTGGGCCTCTGGCTGTGGCTGGGAGCCCCAGGGCCTTTAAATCACCCTGGAGCTACCAGCTGAAGAGGCGGCTGGGAGCCCTGGGGCTCAAGGGTGAATTAAAGGGCCCGGAGCTCCGGCCACCACGGGGAGCCCCGGGCCCTTTAAAGCGCCGCCCGAGCCCCGCTGCTGGGCTTGTGCAGGGATTTAAAGGGCCTGGTGCTCCGGCCGCCGCGGGGAGCCCCAGGCCCTTTAAAGCGCCGCCGGAGCTCTGGCAGCGGGGCTCAGGCAGC